TTGTGAATGGTCCAGCGACTTCTGGGACACATGACAGGTCCCAGAAGGCGCCGGGCCATTCACAAAGTGCAGCGCTTCTCGCGCATGCGCAGTGGGCACCCGGCTGTCACAGAACCCGGCGCGGGGAAGAGGCCAGCGTGCCCACACTAAAGAAAGGACAACTTCAGGTACCCACTCCCCCTCCCTCCCCAAATGTCCGCAGTCTCTTCGTCATACCCTGTACTGTCCGCAGTCTCTGGTCATCTGTACTGTGTCCGCAGTCTCTGGTCATCTCCTGTACTGTGTCCGCAGTCTCCGGTCATCTCCTGTACTGTGTCCGCAGTCTCTGGTCATCTCCTGTACTATGTCCGCAGTCTCTGGTCATCTCCTGTACTGTGTCCGCAGTCTCTGGTCATCTCCTGCAGTATGTCTGCAGTCTCTGGTCATCTCCTGTACTATGTCCGCAGTCTCTGGTCATCTCCTGTACTGTCCGCAGTCTCTGGTCATCTCCTGTACTGTCCGCAGTCTCTGGTCATCTCCTGTACTGTGTCCGCAGTCTCTGGTCATCTCCTGTACTGTGTCCGCAGTCTCTGGTCCTCCCCTGTACTGTGTCTGCAGTCTCTGGTCATCTCCTGTACTATGTCCGCAGTCTCTGGTCATCTCCTGTACTATGTCTGCAGTCTCTGGTCATCTCCTGTACTGTGTCCGCAGTCTCTGGTCATCTCCTGTACTGTGTCCGCAGTCTCTGGTCATCTCCTGTACTGTATCTGCAGTCTCTGGTCATCTCCTGTACTATGTCTGCAGTCTCTGGTCATCTCCTGTACTATGTCCGCAGTCTCTGGTCATCTCCTGTACTGTGTCCGCAGTCTCTGGTCATCTCCTGTACTGTATCTGCAGTCTCTGGTCATCTCCTGTGCTATGTCCACAGTCTCTGGTCATCTCCTGTATTATGTCTGCAGTCTCTGGTCATGTGTACTATGTCCACAGTCTCTGGTCATCTCCTGTGCTATGTCCGCAGTCTCTGGTCATCTCCTGTACTATGTCCGCAGTCTCTGGTCATCTCCTGTACTATGTCCGCAGTCTCTGGTCATTTCCTGTACTGTATGTCCGCAGTCTCTGGTCATCTCCTGTACTATGTCCGCAGTCTCTGGTCCATCTCCTGTACTATGTCCGCAGTCTCTGGTCATCTCCTGTACTGTGTCCGCAGTCTCTGGTCATCTCCTGTACTGTCTGCAGTCTCTGGTCATCTCCTGTACTGTGTCCGCAGTCTCTGGTCATCTCCTGTACTGTGTCCGCAGTCTCTGGTCATCTCCTGTACTGTGTCCGCAGTCTATGGTCATCCCTGTGTTGTCCGCAATCTCTGGTCATCTCCTGTACTATGTCCGCAGTCTGTGGTCATCTCCTGTACTGTGTCCACAGTCCATTGGTTCAGAATATTTTTTTTCTTGTTTTCCTCCTCTAAAACCTAGGTGCATCTTATGGAGCATGAAACACGATAAATGGAGTGGGCCCCCCCATTCATACCAAGCCATTCAAGTCTGATATGGGTTTTGAGGGGAACCACCACACCAACATTAAAAAAATGGCATGGGGATACCCCCAAAATCCATACCAAACCCTTATGTGAGTATGCAGCCTGGCAGGTTAGAAAAGGGGAGGGACTAGCAAGTGCCCCACCCTGAACTATACCAAGCCACATGCCCTCAACATGGGGGGTGAGCTTTGAGGCAGGGGGGCCCCCCCCCCAAAGCACCTTTTTCCAAAAAACTCACCGGGTGAAAACACGAAGATGTGAACGTGTCCCATAGGAAACCATGTTAAATGGACTGTACTGCGTTTCTGCAAAACGCTTGGGTGTGAACCTGGGGTAACTGAACAAGCTGAAGGTAGAAGCTGATTGGCTCCCAATGCGCAGCTGCACCAGATTTTGCCCTCTCCAGTGTTAGTAAATCAACCCCATAATGTCTTTTATAGGATTATGTTGCCACTTTTTATTAGTTTGTTGTTTATCACTCCATACCATTCGTTTTGTGTGCTCACCCTCTTCCCTTTTTATTCCACAGGTGGCCAGATTTGGATCTTTTAATACCATGATTTCAAGAGAGATCCCGTCCTATAGCTTTCCAGAGAGTGGAATGAGGGTGCGAAGTTACGAAATGACAGTACCAACATCCAGGGTAAGACTCATTTGATCCTGAAATTGAAAATGTGCCCTTCCTGGGCGGGCAATGAAATGACAGGGCAAGGTGTATGGACTGTGATAGGTCCAGTCCATGTGTAGGGGGCGCTGTCTGAGGACACAGGAATTCTATAGAAACATTTCCAGTGAAGGATGCTGCTAATACTACAGCATACAAAGACATTGTAGACTCTTCCATCCATGTGGTGACTATGGAAAGAAGCAGGGATTTATTTTCTCAAAAAATAGGTGCAGGACCCCCCCATCCCAAGAGTCCCTTGTCTACGCCCCCTTACCCACCTCCGAGCACTTTCATTTGGTTCCACCCCCTACCCAGCTCCCAGTCCCGCCTCTTTTAGAGAAGTACCATTTTGTGGTGCTAAATAATTTGTGTGGAATTTGTTAATGATAACAAGAAAAGCAGAAAAATAGATCTCCGCAGACGGCAACATTAGACCCCACCAGCAACAGAAGATTCCTCCAGCCACAAAAAAAACCCTAGCAACAATAGACTCCCAGCAGCTACAACAGATCTCCCAGCAGCCAGCAACAATAGACCCCCATCAGCTGCAACAGATCTCCCAGCAGCCTGCATCAACAGACCCCCCAGCTGCTACAACAGATCTCCCAGCAGCCAGAAACAATAAACCCCCAGCAGCTACAACAGATCTCCCAGCAGCCAGAACCAATGGACCCCCAGCAGCTACAACAGATCTCCCAGCAGCCAGCATCAATAGACCTCCCAGCAGCTACAACAGATCTCCCATCAGCCAGAAATAGACCCCCAGCAGCTACAACAGATCTCCCAGCAGGTGGCATCAATAGACCCCCCCCCAGCAGCGACAACAGATCTCCCAGCAGTTAGCATCAATAGACCCCAAGCAGCTACAACAGATCTCCCAGAAGCCAGCATCAATAGACTATCAAGCAGCCAGCAACAACAGCTGGAGGGCCGCCAGTTTGACATCCCTGCTCTAAGGGCTGGTTCACACGAAATGCATTTCAGTTGCTTTTTATCTGCATCCAAAACGCACAGAAAGTAGGTGATATGGTTGTCAGTGTCATAGTTCACATCAGTGCTTTCAGTTCCAGTGCGTTACGGTTGCAGAAAGAAAAAGTAGAACAGGCTGCATTTTTTCTGCACAGAACTGCACTGGAACGTGATAAAATGCATCAAAAACGCACCAAAATGTGCTGGAAAGCACATGTCCCTATTTACATTGAAGAAAAAGAGAGGGGGAAAAATGAACTGGAATGCATCAAAAAAGCACCAGAATGCACCAAAACGCATCACAAAACCCACTGGAATGCACATGTCCCTATTTAAATTTAAGAAAAAGCATCGAAAAAGCATTAAAAAATGCACCAAAAAGCATCAGAATGCGCATGCGGAAACGCATTTGGAACTCATCTGGACTGCGTTTCTATAGTGTGAACCGGCCCTTAGACTTTTATTTTCATTTGATGCCGATCTGTTTTTGCAGGTGACCTCTGTGCCGGTATCAGGGGCGCACTGACCATTTGGAAACTTGGTCACTGCCCGAGGGCCCGAGGTCAGTAGGGGGCCCCATGAGATGCCCCTGGTACCTTTTTCATAGGCTTTTTTGAGTTTGGGCAAGGATGCAGGGGCCCCATGATCCCCTATTGCCCGGGGGCCCCATGAGTTGTCAGTCCGCCCCGGTTGGTATTTATTTCCTCGTATTTATTAATATTTTCCTCTTTTCTCAGACTGGAAGATACACTCCTAGGTCTTAGACCGATCCGCTGGCCAAGTCTGAATTCTCCGGAGAAATCTGAATGTTTGATCTGTATCCAGGGACACGTGCAATAAGAAACGATGATACTGTCATGCCCCGCCTCTGCGGGGATCGCTGATCATGACGTCATGTTGTGGATCTGTTTCCAATACTCGATCCCCGGATCTGGAACCTTGGACACGCAGTATTTATTAGGCAGAAAAATGCACCGAATTTCACTTCTCAGGTCATATTATTGTATATTAGTATTGGCCACGAAACCCACGCATGCGCAGTCGGCTCTCTTTCACTCTCACAGCACGCCGAGCCGTGAGCGAGAGCAGACTGCGCATGCGTGGGTAAGGCTCCGTTCACACGTACGCAGTTTGTCCATTTTGCAAGTGCTTTTCGCAGTTCATTTTGCATTTTTCTACACACTTTTTTTAATGCATTTTGTTCAGCCCTTTTTGTATAGCAGACAGCAAAAAAAAACATTTTTTTTTTTCAAAATTATCGGATGCATAATAAAAAATTAAAAAAACAATCAAATACCACAAAAAAAACAAAAATGCTTAAAAAAATTGACAGAAATCTCAACAGCGTTGCACGACCGCTCAATTGCCAGTTCGAGTAATGCAGCACTAATTAGCAAAAAATGGTCTGGTCAGGACGGGGGGGTAAAGTCTTCCGGAGCTCAAATGGTTCATATACTGAGGACACTGTATTACATGGGGATGTTCTTGGCAAATTATTATTATAGAGGATTTATATCGCGCCAACAGTTTGCTCAGCGCTTTAAATGTCATTAAAGGCGAGCTGACCACTTGGAAACTCGGGCACTGCTCGAGGGCCCGGGGTCAGTAGGGGGCCCCATGAGATGCCCCTGGTACCTTTTTCATAGGCTTTTTTGAGTTTGGGCAAGGACACAGGGGCCCCATGATCCCCTATTGCCCGGGGGCCCCATGAGTTGTCAGTCCGCCCCTGCCTGGGGGCCCCATGAGTTGTCAGTCCGCCCCTGGCTGACCCTTCAAGGAACCGAATTTACTGTACCCAGCTATACCGACCAATGCAATCTAATGGGACGCGCTGCAGTTATAGGCACAATACTCACTGCAAAGCTCCTTAATGAACCTGCTAATTAACAAATGTGTTCTAATTTATTTTTTAAAAGATGATTTGTATTTATTTATGATTCCTACTGCGCATCTCTTTAATAAATGTGTTACACGTCAGGTCGCGGAATCTGATATTTATTCTGATTCATCTTATTTATAGCGATCTTAATAAACGAATGTCATGGCAGGTCTGCTGTTGTCGTTATTAACCCCTTCACGCCTATGAGTAAAACAAATCTAAATGCCTAAGCACAATTTTACAACGTTGACGTGTTAGTAAAACCGTCCAGATCATCACAACTACTTCATACATCCAGGTGGATTATACCACGTTTTTTTTTTTCAGGACAAATTTTTCATTTGGTGGTAAATGGTAATGGATATCTCCTGATTAAAGACTGGCCCAAAAAAATAAAAAAAAATAAAACGTACCTTTTCGTGGAGCGGGTCCGGTGTCACCCTGTATAGGTTGCATGATCCCCGCAGGATGGATCGGATCTGCGGATTGAGCATAATGGATCGGAGTCTGATCCATTATGTTCCAGATCCATAAATTCTCCAGCTCTTGACGATCGCAGCGATACCATAGATGTCTGTTATTTGTCCCCGTAGTGCAGCCCAGAAACAATAGCGCACATTATACCGCAGTTTTTTCAGGATAAATTGGGCTTTCATTGGGTGGTAAATGGTAAT